CCATCAAGGGCCCCGAGAGCGCTCCTCCGCGTGTCAGAGGGCGCACGGTGCAGCGTGGTCATGGCTCGACTCGAGGGTGTCCGCGGCTCGGTCTGTTCGGCTGCGTCGCAATTGGTTGGGTCCGGCGTCCGTTTCGATCTCGTTGTCGGCTTGTTTTCTTTTCGGTTGCGCTGCCGCCGTGGACGGCCTTGGTCATAGTCATAGACTTCGGCACCGCCCCCTCGTGTCGTCCAGGGTCGCGCTTTGGCCAGGACCTCGAGGGCAATCCAGCCGTGGCCGACGGGGGCGCCCCTGGAGCCCCAGGAGGGGGTGAAGAAGAGCACAGAGCCTCGGCTCCTCGATCCTCGACACTCGATCCTCGATCCTCGATCCTCGATCGTCGTCCTCCGCCTCCCCCTCCTTCTCCTCATCCTGAGCCCCGCATGGCCGGCTGTACCGCGCCGGCGCGAAGCCGCCGCCCCAGGTCGGGAGTTCGCGTACGAGATCTGCGTGGGCCAGAACGGGCGCGCCTGGCTGAGCGCCCCCACGGCGCGCGAGGCGGTGCTGTTGCTGCAGGCGATCAAGCGCTCCTTTGGCATGACGGACGTGCAGGCGGAGATTCAGACTCAACTCGGGATTGTCCAACCGATCTTCGTCCCCACCACTCCAGGCCTCCCAACTGGGATCCGAGTAGATGGGGTCGGAGGGTCGCGCCGCATCGCCGATGCATCGGCGATACAGCTTGATGTGGGGGCCGATTTCCTCCACGCCGACGTCGCCGATGCATCGCCGATGCATCGGCGATGCATTGGCGATGCGGCGCGATCCTTCGACCCTACTAGGACCCATCTAGGAGGCATCCAACTGTGGTATCTCAACCTCACCATCCCACCACCCCAGTTCGGAATCGGTCCCGCGAAAATCGAAGGGAACAACATCTATCCCCATTTAGGGTTAAGTCGGGCCTGTCCCTCTGCAGGAGGAATGTTCAAACATAGTCCAAACATGGTCAGGGGAATATTTTTTGACATTCTATATATTTGTGTATGTGTGAGTATGTTTGGGGGTATTTCTCTTTTTCCTCCCAAATCCCCCTGTATGGGGTACGTGCCCGACCTAAATCCAGGGAAGCAAGTCGGCCAGCGGGGCCGAGGCCATGCCAACGAGGATTGGGATCGGTCCGACGGTGCCTGCCAGCGCCGTTTCGATCCGATCGATCTGGTTCGATGCAGACTCCGGCCGTCCAGGTCCGATTCGATTCCGACTTTCCCGACGACCCCGTGCTCGGGGGCGGCAAAGAGGGGGGTGATGACTGGGGGGGGGTGGACATCGGGGCGTGGGCCATGATGTTTCCCCAGACTTCATGGCGCCTCTTCTTATTTCCTTACGTCCCTGGCCCCCCCCCCCCCCCGGCCGCGCACACGCCACCGGCCATGATTTGCACCCCCCCTCTTGGACGCCCCCCTCTTGGCCACCCCCGACATGCGTCCCGATGCTCGCATGGCTCTGCGGTGCATCGCGCCAGCGTCGTTGTAGCACCCGAGAGGATAAGGGCGGGAGCTGCCCTGGGGACCCACACAGTTTGGATGTCGCCAGCGGGATCTTTCCTCGCGTGGTGGTTGTGCGTGCGGTCGTGGTGAGCAAGGACTTGATTGCATGCGCGTAGGATGACGAGAAGAGGAGGAGGTGTCTGCAACCACGAGAGGAGGACCTGAGGATGACAAGAGGCGGATGATGGAGACAGCCCATGCGGATCCTGGCTGAGAGGGGAAGTTGTTGGCAGCGGACTGTCTAAACTTGTAACAGTTGTTGGCAGATGCTGGCAACAGTGCCGGTGAGGTTGTTAGTCTTACCATGGATGGACAGTCGTGGGCGGCAGCAGGAAATCATGCACCTCGGCATGCCTCGATGACTGCCGTTGCTTGTAGCGGTATCTTGCACACGAGCATTCAGCACGAGGGTTACCCTTGCAGCCCCGCTGTTCACATGTAACCTTTGAGCATGATCCCAAACGCGCCCCGTCTGCGCCCCGTTCTGCTTCTGGGCGCGTCCACAGGGACACGTCAGGGGTGCTCGGTGGTGCCATCAACGGTCTTCTCTCGGTGCCTCTTAGCGTTGCAGGTGGAGGCAATGGTCACCAAGATTGTGCAGATCAGCTCCTGACAATACCGCGCACTGCTGTCTCCGAGGCGAACGCGGGTCTCGTGCGGCTGCTCTCCGCGCGCCGCGGTCTCAAAAGGGGCGCTGCGTTCCCGGGTCTTACACGTGATGGGCCCAGCGCTGCTTTGTGCCTGTTGCATCCCTCTCCGTTTCCCCCGCCTTCCCCTCTCCTCCCCCGCCTTCCCCACTTCCATTCCCTATCCCCTTACCCATCCCCACACCTGCACACGATCTCTTCTCCCCCTTCCCCCGGCCCTTCCCTGTTTTTTTCCGTCATGCTATGTCGAGCGTTGTTTTCGGCATGTGAGCTCTCGGGCGCCTTTAGCGAAGAGGTTCGAGCACGTGCCACGTCACCAGTGGCATGGACTAACATATGATGCCTACGGATGCCTAAGTCTTGGGCTCTGTCTGCGTTGATGATCACGACTCTGGTTAGTGAGTTGTTGCCCTCCCCAGCTGCTAACCTCTACCATTATTACTTATCGGTGGTTGATAATATACGCCAGTGGGCGCTCATAGGCGCACATACGTTTCAATAGGCGCTAATCGGCGCAAATAGGGATACTGTCAGACATTACTAGGCGTTGCCAGGGTGGAGCCTGCCTTCACGTCCCTCTCACACGCATAATGCACCACATGTGGCTCGTGCCTCTGACTGCGGTGGGTGCCGCTGTCCTCGACGGTTTTCTGGGGCCGTGCCTGCGTGTACGCCTCACGGATGTTGTCTCTGCCTGCGCCTCTGCTCGTGCCAACGCCTGTGACTCGGAGGTTGCGGGACGAGAGCGCAGCGACCCCGACCGTGCCCTCGGTCCCGCTTGTCGGGAAATGAATAATGACATAAAAATAAAAATTCGGAGGTCCGCGCGGATTTCTCGGATCGGCGCTGGGGCCCCCTGGCGGCGCCTCCGGAGCCGCCCCTGGCGCGCTCCGCGCGCCAGGGAGGGGGGTCCAGCGCGGATCCGAGAAATCCGCGCGGACCTCCGAGTTATTATGTTTATGCCACTTTTCGTCTCCGTAGCTTTGGTTGCCTCGTGCCGTGCGTGCGGGCGAGGCGGAGCTGCGCGAGGGCGCCGATGGTGCCCCGCGAGGCTATCTCGGCGGCCTCTGGCCGCGCCGCAGCGCCTGTGTGGCCCGCGGCGGTCTGTGCGGCGGTCGTCCGACAGCGTATCTCCCGCGGCAGTCCCGCGGTCGCCCCGTCGATGCCTCGCCAGGGCTGCCCCACTGCGGGACGGGAAAATGACCACAGCCACTGCTTCTTGTTTGCGCCGCCTTTCAGCCGGCCGAAAAAGAAGCAGTGGTTGTGGTCATTTCCCTGGTGCCAAGCTCCACGAAAATGACCACAACCACTGCTTTGTTTCTGCGGGGTGGAAGGCGGCAACAAAAGGAGAGCAGTGGCTGTGGTCGTTTTCACGCCCCGTACCCACGGTTGGTGCCTCGCGGGTGCTGGCCCATTGTTCAGCATCGTCATTCTTGTTCGCATTAGGGTCGTGATATCGACGCGCAGACATCCAAGGGCCTTCAGCCCACCCCGCCACCGTGCCTGGGTTGTGGGTGAGAGATGCATTCTGGGTGTTTGCCGGGTTCTCGTGTGAGGCCTCTCGGGGGCTTCCTGGAGGCAGTTTTGAGGCCTCTGGGGGGCTGTTTTGGGGCCTCTTGGGGCCTCTTTTTGGCCTCTTGGGGGCTCGGTCTCACGATCGATCCCATTATAGATCTCACAATCGGTCTTACGATCGATCTCGTTATCGATTTCACAATCGATCTCACCACAGATTCCACGATGGTTCTCATTGTTGACCTCACTATCGATCTCATTATCGATCTCACCATCGATTTCACTATCGATCTCACTGTCGCGCCACCGACGGGGCACACGCGCCACCGACGGGTATCGACCTCACAATCGTTCTCACGATCGATCTCGCTATCGATCTCAAAATCGATCTCACCACAGATCTCACTATCAATCTCACTATTCACCACCGATCTCACTATCGATCTCATGATCGATCCCATCAACATCGATCTCACTCTCGCGCCACTGACGGGGCACCCCCCCGCCAACGACGGGGCACAACCCGCACCACGGACCGACGGGGCGCCCCCGCACCACCCGCGGAGCACCCCCGCACCATCAACGGGGCACCCCTGCACCGCACCTGGGGCCACCGCGCGCCAGAGGGCGGGGCGGTCAACTGGCTCCAAGGCCCCTGGCCACGGCGGCATCATGCTCGTCGCGCGCCCACTTAGCTTCGCCTCGCCTGCACGCACGACACGACCACGAAGCCGAAACCGATTTCCCGGTGGGTTGGCTTTCCGTTCCGTTGCGATCTCAACCCCCAACCTCCGATATACATATCATTAGGCCGATCTACAGTTGTATTGGTAGATGCATTGTGAGATCGGCGGGCAGGTAGTGAGACTGTTGGTAGCGAGATCGGCAGATAATTAGGTTGTGGATCCAATGGGATGCCGTTCGCAAACCGAAAGTTGCGCTCATCACCCCAATCTCCTTACCACCAAATGGTAGTCGACAAGGTTTGCTTGTGATCATGCCTCCCCTGTACCCGTGTGCTCATGCCTATTCTGTGCTCATGCATCTGTCCGTGCATACCATGTGCTCGCAATCATTCCCCAGCTATGATGGGACCTTGCAGTGTACAGCTTCATCTCAGCTTACTTTAACATCAGCTTCTGATAAAGTTGCCCAACTTGGCGTAGCTATGCGTATACTCGATAAGCCTAGCTCAGCGTTATTCAGCTTAGCGTAGGTCTAGCTTGTTCTAGCGTGACGTAGCGTACAATAGGGACATGTTAGCTTAGGTAAGTTCAATCCAACCCGCTCAGTTTTGGTTGGCCTACACGTGACATGGCTCAACAATTGTTGATTTAGCTGTAGCGTCGCATGTTTTTTATTGTTTATATTCTCCATTTTTCCGTCTCAGTTTCAACTTCCCCATTGGCACTTCCCACAACGGTCACCATCCTCGCCTCCTCCTTCAGTGCACATGCTCTCCTCAGCCGCTCGTTTCCCCAGCGGCCTCACCCTCACCTGCCCTCTCCGAGACGGCGGCGCGCGCAGCCAGCCAGCACCTGGGCAGGACTGGAAGTGGACAGTCAGTGAAGAGCAAGACCAGAGCAGCTGCAGGCGGGAGGCTCTTCCTCAGGTGGGACAGGCGTGCCTCCCGAGCCTCTTGCCCGGGTGGTGCCCTGCCGCGCCCCCCCCCGCCGCGCGCGGCCGCGCCGAAGGCGGTGTCCGAGCCCGAGGTGGAGGACCGCGTCCTGGCCAGAACGGGCTCGGCCTCAGGACCCGGGGCTGGAGCCGTTCTCGGGGGGAGGGCCACGACGTCCACGGCCATGCCGCTGCGGGGCCTCGTCGATGTCGATCTTGGTCATTCGTCCACGCGGGCTGTCGCCGATCCTCGAGGACGATCCGCGGATTGGCGATGACTCGGATGCACGATGACCAAGATCGACGCCGTCGCTTCCGCGTTCGGCCCTGCTCATGGTAATTGCTTTTTTTTCCCTCCGCCTCTCTTGCGTCGCGGATCGCGTCCCGCGAGCGCCAGGGTGCGGCTGGCAGGTCCGCAGGTCGCATCGCTGGCCACCGTGAAGCTCTGGCGCCTTGACGGGCCATTGTCTCCCACCGTCAGGGTCTGTCCAGATTCCTTTGCTTCGGAGTCGTGCCCGGGGATCTCGAAGACCTTTGGAGGAGTGGTGGCACGTACTGTGCCCGCCCCCGAGGGCGGGAAAGTGTTCATGTCCACAGGCCCCCATACGCAGGAGCTGCTCTGTATTTTTGCTGCCTCGTCTTCATTCTTGCCGTCGCGGATAGTGCTCCCAGGCACGCTCGTGGTGTCAAGGTAGGCGGACCACATTTAGGAGACAATCGATTCTTGATTTTTTTCCCAACCATCCTGTGGTGTTGTGTCCTCAATTTGCAATGACGGTCCCCGCGTTCTTCTCCTCCTCCTCCCCCTCCTCCCTCCTCCATCGCCATCATTATCATCATCATCATTATTATCATTATCATCATCACCATCACCATCACCATCACTATCACCATTATCATCTTTATCATCATCATCATCATCATCAGCATCAGCATCAGCATCAGCATCAACATCATCATCATCATCATCATCATCATCATCATCATCATAATCACCATCATCATCATCATCATCATCATCATCATCATCATCATTATCATTATCATTATTCATCATCATGATCATCATCATCATCATCATCAGCATCATCATCATCATCATCAGCATCAGCATCAGCATCAGCATCAGCATCAGCATCAGCATCATCATCATCAGCATCATCAGCATCATCATCATCCGTTTCAGCACACACGTTTCGTGGCCCCATAGGGAGCCCCACCGAAGGCCCCAGCGCTACCGCCCGCATGCGTCCCCCACACCCAGTGCAGCGTTTCGTGGCCCCCTCCTCCCTCCTCCCTGCGTTTCACCCACCCAGTACGGCGTTTCGTGGCCCCATATGGAGCCCCACCAAAGGTCCCAGTGCTACCGCCCGCATGCGTCCCCCGCGCCCAGTACAGCGTTTCGTGGGCCCCTCCCTCCTCCCGGCGTTTCACCCACCCAGTACGGCGTTTCGTGGCCCCAAAGGGAGCCCCACCGACCGAAGGTCCCAGCGCTACCGCACGCATGCGTCCCCCACACCCAGTACAGCGTTTCGTGGCCCCCTCCTGCCTCCTCCTTGCGTTTCACCCACCCAGTACGGCGTTTCGTGGCCCCATATGGAGCCCCCCCGAAGGTCCCAGTGCTAGCGTCCGCGTGCGCCCCCCACGCCCAGTACAGCGTTCCGTGGCCCCCTCCTCCCTCCTCCCTGCGTTTCACCCACCCAGTACATCGTTTCGTGGCCCCATAGGGAGCCCCACTGAAGGTCCCAGTGCTACCGTCCGCATGCGTCCCCCGCACCCAGTATAGTGTTTCGTGGTCCCCTCCACCCGCCCCCAATCCGTGAAACCCTTGCAA